TTCTTGACTTTGCTAGAATAATGAGGAACAGAGGCTCTGTCCTTTGTATTGGGAAAGAAGCACAGCATGCTGTAGCCGTGGGGAACTGGACCACAGTCCAGGAATCAGCTGCAAAGGTGATGCATTGGTTGCATTTATGGACGTGTGAGTGCAGGGGAGAGGAAGAGCGTGTTTCTGGGTTTGCGTGTGAGACGCGACAGCCACCTGTAGTGGCGCGTGTCTCGAATGCCTCGGTCGCTGCCCAGCCGGTCGCTCTCCTGCAGGTTGAAAGCGTGCTCTCGATAGGGATCCTCCCCTGCCCTCAGCTGCTTCCCCGATAGGTACGCTTTCTCATCAAAGTGACCAATCACCTGCCCTGGATGCTCGGCGGGTGGGGAACGTGTCACCTGGACAAACAGAAATGACAGTCAGAGGTCAGCGCAGGAGATTGATAAGCAAGACTGGCGAATGGAATGCATGTTTCTTCAAGAGAAGATCAGATAGGTCAGATGTGTACCTAATGAAAACTGTACAAACATATGTCTCCTAGCAAGGTCCATTATTTAGACCGTAAAAGGAATCAAACATTTCCCCAGTGGTCAGAAACGCATCACAATGATAATGATGACCACTATTACTGTGTAAAGCTGCATTTTCTAATCATCCTATATCCTAAGTGCTGGTAGTCGAGGGTTCTGCAATGTTGGTTTAGGTGACTAGACTGAGAACCAGAGTTCCTTTAAGACAAGCAGTACGTGGGAAAAAGTCAGGAGTGTTTCTCTTGATCAGTGAGAAAATATACAGAGAAACATAACGGCATGAACATGCAAATACCTTGCAAAGAAATAGAAGGGATGAAACAGGCAGAAGGAAAGTAAGAAAGAGGAAAGGAAGAGAAAAATTAAGGATCTGCATTCACTTTTATTAATGCTCTGTCAGAAAAAGGCTCAGCCTGCAACTGGGTTTGGGCTTTTCGGCGAAGTTTCCATTTCACAGGACACAATTCATACAGGGTAAGTCGCTTCAGTCATCAGAAGACAAGATTTAAAAGCACTTAGTCATTTCTAACCAAATTAAAAGCGCAATGTCAGTGGAATGTTTAGAAGACGAGCGAGCAGCGGGGAATGAGCCGTCCTAGATCGCATACTTGTAAGGAATCAGGTGAAGGTCCATGCAGGGATCGTTCTACGGCCAAAACAGGATCCAAAAGTCAATGTCGTCAACAGTAATCCATCAGAAACAAAAACCAGAACAAAACAGGACAATATCAGAATTGGAATTCAAATCACTAAGTAAAGAACCAGGCAATAGGTTGGTAAACAGAAAATTCTCACTACAGAAGAGATCCACTATACATCCAACAATCTGACTAAAACAACTGGTATTTTACCAGTTACATAGGAAATAATATACAGGTGGATTTAATAAACTGGTAAGGTTGATGGGGGAAGACCCAGGCTGGATGTGGGATCTGGGTGCCAACTGGTTTGGGGCCTTGGCAATATTGCAGCTAGCTAGAGCATATAGTAACCAATGGAAATAGAACTATTAGAAATACAATTACAGGCAGCATGGGGGCGCAGTGGTTAGTGATGCTGCCTCACAGCAAGAAGGTCCTGGGTTCGGTCCCAGGTCCTTTCTGTGTGGAGTTCAGACGCTCTCGCCATGGTCGTGTGGGTTTCTGCTGGGGGCTCTGGTTTCCTCCCACGGTCCAAAAGCGTGCAGGATAGGTTGATTGGCGAGTCTAAGTTGGCCCTGTGAGTGTGTGTGCGCCCTGTGAGTGTGTTGGCGGCTCCCAGGGTTGATTCCTGCCTGCGCCCTTTGATCCCTGGATAGGTTCTGGTGACCCCAGTTGGGATTAAGCAGTTATGGTGATGGATGGATGGAAATTCAATGACTCAATGGGTTTTGCCAATTAAAGGATGACCTTCAGGGTTTTTTCTTAATGTGCATTTTCTTATTAGGCCTTAACGAATAGAGCTATGATATCCGCTGCTACAAAACATATGGCTAGTCATAATTTATCATAAGTAATACAAAGAGGAAACAATAAAACAATGAACACTTCAAAATAAATACATATTAAGCCTTTGATGTAAGAATATACAACATACACTCTGTATGGTTCAATTTATATACGACGTGCTATAGATAAGGGGGGGGCTGTCAGCACATGGGTGTGTCACTGTACTAATGCTTATGTGCTAAATGTCATGTAATATGTTCACACAATACTAATGGAGTAATCCTGAATCACCAGTTCCATTATATTAGAAGTTAGATTTACACACAGTTCACAAAAGGAAACCTGGAAACAATGTAAACCCAGCACCCTTACAGGGGAACATTGCACAGCACTGCCAATCTGGTCTCAATAAGCCGGTAATCAAGTCTAATTGGCTCATAATCTGGTTGTGGTCTGGTGTGTCAGGATTTTGGAATGGAATTAGCAGAGAACAACAGCATGGCCACAAAGCATGGTGATATTGTTGCTTTCATTAGGGCACAGATTTTCTGGGTGGGATGCAATTTTCACTTTATTTTGTCTTCTCTGCGAACACCTCTGACGCTATCAAAGGATGTTTTCCCCAGATCACTGTATGTAAACATGCCAGAAATTTGAAACACAAATGGCTCTAAAGAGGGAGTTACACATAGCCTCACAAAATCCTGCTCCTTCATTGAATTCCACTGCATCTATCTTTGCATATGCAAATCACCCATACTACTGATTAAATCTAGATGCAAATATGCTGAAATTACGTACCCAAAGCATTAATAAACTTAAAATGAACTCTATTGATTTATCGTTTCTTATGAGAAAGAAATTTATACTGAAATGAATTGGGAGTATGCACACACTGTACTAAAACTAAAGAAAAATATCATTAAAAAAATCACACAGAGAGATATACTGTACAGGTATATGATCAAACAATGGCAGCCAAACATGAAGGCTAATGCTAATTTTGGTTCTCTTTCTAAGGCCTAATTAAACACAGTTTGCACACTAATTCCAAAAGCCCGCTATGTACCGCCAAAAACAAATAAAAGGGGAAACAATAAAATGGCATAATTAAGGATCTCAGATTTGTTTGCTGAAACAATGTAATTAGAAAGATTTGCCAGTTAATTCCGCCGGTGCAGTGAAGGGTGATGGGTAAAATTTAAAATAGATAATTACTAAAAATACAAGCTGTGGAAGAGCACTTGCACCTAGGGGAGTGAGCACTATTTCTGTGCATTTGTGAGAAGAAAGAGGGTTATGGTGGTGTCTATGGTGATTCTCCTACCACAACTGCTAATTAGAACCAGATGAAGCAGGAATGGTGCGCTTCTCTATTCTATTCCTTCTGTTCCACTCTACTGTGTCACAGTCCTCCTGTTGTCAAGGTAACTAGGATGTAGAATCAGGTTCTTCCTGGATACTTAGTATTTATAAAAGAGATTTAAAAAGAAGTGAAGAAAAAAAAAGCAATATTAGAAGGCAGAAGACAGAGAGAAATCCAGGGTTTTTTCTCTCGTGTTGTATTTACCCTTTTAAAATGATGTCGGTACGTGGTTCATTTTAAATTCAAGATTTAGAGTTATCAAATCACCGTGAGATGGGACATAAGTAGGAATAGGGAGCAATATGAGCAGAGACGATGAAATGGCATGAGTAAAAAAATAAAAAATCACAATCAAATTTGAGATTAGACTTTGTGTCGAAAGACTTATGTGTAAATGATCAGAGAGGCAAAATGGAGTTTGACATTTACACAGCGGTGAGAACAGTTTTTCCCTCCCATGCCTTTTCATCTCATTCATATTGTGTTCTAGAACTGGAACTCAGCTAAAAATCCCAACTACAGAGCAAAGAGATGAGAAGGAGTTCACTGCGTGGAGGGGCCACGCAACCTTTTCATTTACCACCCAAATGTCTGCAGTTAATTCCAAACTAACAATGACCCTACTCTTACAGTCTACTTAGGTTGAAGAAATAAAGTGATCAGCAAAGTAAAGATTCAGTTGGCCCTAATACACATTATTCTGCACAGATCAAGACAAAATCCTCTCAGAAAACAATAGTCAGAATGAAGGAAAATTTGTAAGCAAAAGCATTCATATTGCATGATACAAAAGGCCTAAATCAAATTACTAAATGGTGCGGACAGAATATCGCATAAAATCTCAGTCACCATGGATACAAAACAAGCAATCAGCTATATGGGTGTCACTGAGAGAGGGAGGGGTAAAAAAAGAGAAAAAATGTTAATTTAGAAGGAGAAAACAGAGGATATGCCTATACAGCTGAAATGTAGCTATATCAAACTACTGCTTACAACCATCAACAGAACGGAAAGTTAGTAAAATATAATATGTATACCTGAGAATGAACAAACAGATGAGACAGACAGAAGGCTCCTCTGACAACATTGAGTGTGAAAGCAAATGAATCAAGTCTTCAAGCCTTTGATAAAGGTGTTGATACCAAAATGTATCTTCAATACTCTTATTTAATATGCAAACTTTTATCTGAAATACATAATATTTTAAAACTGAAAATTATAGAGGGCACGATTGGTGCTTATCTGTGAAACATTTGAGAATATACGCTATTATTTGCCATTTATTATATTAAAATATTTACTTTTTTTTTTTTTTTTACACAAAACTTAAAATGCAAATGTTAAAGCAGCACACTTAGTTGAGATTCTATCAGGAGGAACATTTGGTTTCATTTGATTATAAAAAGGATTGAATGCATAAATATGTTAAGAACGGGAAAGATACGGGCAGAGATATTTCATTTAAGAAACACTGGCAGGTTTGAGAGATAATGCGCGAAACAAAAAACCCGTAAGGTTTCAAACCTGGAGATGTCACTAAACTCCCCTGCTTTCTATATCTAAGGCTTCTTATTCTGTCACAAGTATTCCTTCGTGTACAATTATTTTCTAGTACATATTTGATTACCTTAGGCAAGCACCCAGTCATTCTCACATCCATGGCTAAGCTGAGTATAGCGAACTAACTAAGCTGAGTATAGCGAACTAACTAGCCTATACTATAGTCATATATTTCATTATTTGGGAATTTAAATCCCGTCTCTCCTCCATGTTTATGGAGTTTGCATATTCTCCCTATGTTACACATGTTTCCTCCTGCAAGTTAACTGCAATCTCAAAAACTGCTACAGGTAGGGCTATATGCGTATATGTGCCCTGCTACAGGTACAGTATATGCGTATATATATGGTATATGGCGTCGCGTCCAGGGTGTTCTCCTCGCTAGTGCTCTATGCTGCCATCAGACTACCCTGTGACACTGACCAGAACAAGCAGTTAGAACATAGACAGCTCTCATTCAGTGTTTTTTTTCCACAAATGTATGTTAATGTTTGTTTCATTATGATTCATTATATGTGAATATTACTGATTTTTATTACATTTAATTGTACTATGCTAATAACAACAATAATATTGCATGCACACAATTGCACTGCAAAAGAAATGTAAGATAACATCAGTTTCAATGCAATTTCTTACAATATGATGCTTCCAATTAAACCTTTAAAATTGGGTACGAGCAAAAGAAAGTAAACTTCAGTCAGTTTGTCATCTAGGCTCATGCTACATTTGCGGAGCCGGGGTCCTATATTACCCCATTCTAATGAATATGAACACTTTTCAATAAATGCTGTGAATAGATCATTTCTTAATGTTAATTGTTAACATAAACCGTCTAATCATTAGCAAGTGAAGAAGCTGGCTGAAACCGGGTAAAAACTCGATTCCGTCCATCACGTTACCAGATCCATGGTGTCAAGGGCTATAGGTTGAATGATGCAGTAATTCTCTCAGTCTAATTCAGGTCAAGTTCTGCAGAGGATCCCGGCCCAGATCATTTTGTTGGATGTGGTCAAATATGGTGCTTAGCTAACAATGCTTAGTCGACCAAATCCCTTGATGCAGATCACAGGACTTAAAATATGCATATAATAACATACGTTAGAACTTCATTTCCACAATATATCCTGGCTCATATATTTGGCATGCATTAGTTCTACCAGATCAGGAAGAGAACTTCTGTGCTGCAGAGACCAGATGTCCTCCTAAGATCTCTCTGGGACCTGAAGGCTCCACCGGTTCCTGCAGTCATCCTTCATTAATTCATATCCTTATAAGAGCGGACAACAGACAGATATTTGTAATCAAAGCAAAGGATTCCACTGCAAATGGTGTTTATTACTTCAAGATCAAATGCAATTTAATTGTTCATGCATGGCACGAGGATGGCATCACATGAGTGTACGAATCTATTTACATTCAGGATTGACAACTTCTAAAAACGTCTGGCCTTATGCAGAATTTTGCAGCTCGGATTAAGCGTGATGCTGCACATTCAGCCAAAGCTCAAAAGCGCCTTTTCCAGTTCGTTTTTAAATGAACGTTCTAAAATGGAAAAAAAAACCAGAAATCTTAATTATATGCTAGAAAATGTAATTAATTTCTTTTTAACGTCCTTTTACAGTTTCATTAAAGGAAGCAACTTAAATAATTTTGTGAGGTAATTTAAAGCTGTCTTACATATTCCTCACCTCAAAATACCAAATAGAAAAAGCAGTCCGATTTTAATTAATTCACCAGCACATCATTTTCATTGTCGGATGTTATTCTGTACAAATATTTCAGAGTAGGCCTATTAGTTCCGTTTGTATGTAGCCTATATAATGTCACACGCGTGGGATTTAACTATTTTGTGGTGTTTATATCCGAATCCCAAATATAAATAAATCACATACTACAGTACATATTTCTCAGTGTCACTGCCCTAGGGTATCTGATCGGCACATCATGCACAACAAACTGCTCCACAGAAAAATATTTAACGCCCAATCCGCCTCTTTCTGAAATCAGCGAAAGAAATACTTTGTCATACTGCTGCCACAGAATAATGTTTATTCCGATACATCCCTTTAACAAGGAGTAGCCTATAAAGTATAACTACATAGCCATCGAACATACAGTAAATTCCAAATCCAACACATCGCTCCTCACTTGCGCGTCTTTATCGTTCAAAAACGATTTCTAATTTTAATTCCTTAAATTTTACTTTATGGTATGAAGAGAGAGCATTAAGACGTTTAAGGCTCCCGCTGCTGTACATCATGGCAAAAAGCCGCTTAGGGGTAATTAAGAGCGCTTAAGTAACCAGCGCATATTGCAAAAGAAACCAATAATGGACTGACACAGTACGTTTATCCGGACGTTTTCACCAGAAGTAGCAGCCAGTTTGCCCAGACTTTCCGATACCACACTGTGCGGCTCGGTGACGCGGTAATTACATCAAAACGCACCTCCTGCAGTGTCGCCACAGCGATCGCTGCGCATCAGCATGCAGCACACACTGCCCTGCACGCACCGCAGTCTCCGTTACTCCGTTACCGACACCCCCCCACCACACACACACCCATTGTCTAATACATCACTTACAATAAGCGGGATGGTCCTGTCATCTCGGTGGATCTCCAGTCGCCCCGCTTGTATTCTCTGCCCGTGGCTTCTACCGCCTGCGGAACGCAGCTGCGACACCGAGGATGGGGATGTGTGGGGTTTATTATCCTGCCACAGGTAATAGAAGGTCCCCAGGATCCAGGCGACGGTCAGAACCGCAATGGCGTTGGCCCGAATCCTGCGCATTGTGCGCCCATAAGGAGGGAGGGCTCCAGAACTCAGCCTAAATTTTATGATTAGGCTGCTTGGTGATGAGGGAGGTAGCTGGTACTGTACGTGCAGCGCTGCCCCACTGCTGCTTCCTGCTGTAGCTGACAGCTTGACTGGCTGTGAGCTGTTTTGTTGGAGCAGAGGTCTCCAGGCTTGGATCGGTGCCTTCATAGAAACACGGTCCTAGCGCCGAGAGATTGCTGCTTGTCAAGACGCCCACAACCCCAGCGTTCATAACGCGGTGTGAACTGCATTACTGCTGTCGCGATAAAACCGAAACCGCAAACCCAGTAATATTTATCCGTCAACAATCAGAGTAGAATTAGGCTGGATACGCGTCTTCCGACTGCACGGGGAAACGGAGCCCTCAGAGCAAACTCATGCAAACTCCACACCCACAGAGAGGAGCTGGGATTCAAACCCACATCCATGTGGTTGTGAATAACCTGAGCCACCAAATCAAGATCATTACACTTTAAATTAGTACCTAGAGAAATTTATATTGTAGCGAAGAGAGTAGATAGGATTTCGCGAGGCATGCACATCATCACTACATGTACGCTTCATTAATTAAGCAATGGACAATATCATAGTAACAATTTTCCTAAAATTGCCCTCTGGTATCTCTAAGGAACTAGCCAGCCACCTTTCTCAGGTGAACAACGTGCTTCCTGTACGACTCACCGACAAAAAAACAACTACTATGTAAAATACAGCTATACATTTTACACATATGATCCATCTTCAATAATCAAAACACATACCGACAACAATAACCATAAATACTCATGTAAGCCCATATCCGATTATAAATCCGATTAAACCGTTACCAAGTTGTTCCAAGGTGAGAATAAATAATATCCTAATTTTTTTTAATCTTGTTTGAGGAGTATACATTGATCAGTTTGTGAGAATTCGACTTACGTTGTCATTAACCCACATAAATTACACCGGATCGATATTTTCTGATGATTAATTAAGGTTGAATGAAACAAAAGACAACTTATATTGCTGATTATGAAACCAGGAATACAAAAAAGTACCCTTTTTTCAATGTAATTAATTTCTTTTTAACGTCCTTTTACAGTTTCAAATTAAAGAATACTAATAGATAATGAAAAATCCTTGAATATATTTATCAGTCACACAAGTAAAAAATGTTAATCAACACAGTAATTATTCACAAAAGCTTTTGTAAATCAGTTATAGTTTCAACAAATAAAGTATAAAATGCTCCAAACGCTGGTTATAAACTATATTAACCGACGTAAAGTTAGTATAAAATAATTATTTAACAACTAAATCGCCAAAATTTAAAGTCAAACGTGTATTACATTCATGACATCATTTGTAGTACATTTCCCACAGTGCAGCGAAGTGAAATGTTTTGCTTGGCAGTGACCAGTAGAGCACTATGTAAGATACAGTCACGGTGGTGTTGGCAGAAAATATCACTGAGGTTCTTTCGTTCCTTTTTGATGGAGAATGAGGTCATTTGCACCCCTCCCACATGAGAAAATGTGATTAATTCTCTACTGCTGCTTAGATCAGACCATTAAAAGCTACATATGCACTATAACAGAAAGCCCCTAATTAAAAACAATTGTACAACTTCGTAATAAAATTAAAAGAATAAGCAAAAACGGAACAATTACTTTACAATATATAATATAACATAGAATGCAATCTATTGCATTTAATTCCACTGTATTAAAGGATTGATAAAACACAAATATTACTGTGATAAAACAGGTACAAGGTGTCAAGCTAATTATGTAATGTGTTACATAATACAGATGTACAGTTATCTGCATTCATTTAAGCTGTTTCGCTGTAGCAACCAAGAGATAAAATATGTTAATTTATGTTTGCAGACTGAGAACCTGAAAGCACTACATCTGCGGCCAGATACAATGCCTGTCAATGGCAAGCACAACAAAATGCATTACAGGAATTTTTGTCTCCAAAGTAGCAACTTCCCATACAGAGGGAGGGGCACAATCCCCCCCTCCAGCTCCTATGGAATTTTACCAGTACAATACTAGAGACAAACTTCTCTCAGTTACCTATTAGCAGTCTTTGTCTGAGAATTGTGCAGAATTTTGTGTGTGCTGTCCAAATACTTTCAGTTGGAACTCAACTACTGAGATATCTTGGATCCTCAAGAGGTGTCAAGTGATGGTTATCTCTTGAGCATTGCAGTGCTTCCCAGAAAGAAAAATCAAGTGGAAGATGACATTCTTTTATAACAAGAGGTCAATGTTTGACCAGTGGGTCTTGAAGGGTCATTCTAGTTTGTTTTCTAATGGAGCCTTACAGAAGTTATATATATAATGAAGTTCTAAGTGAGCTATCTAAAACCTCTATCATTGAACTGGAATCCTTCTGAAAAAGGCTTGATTCTGATATCAGAAGTAAAGAACAATCTGATTTTGAGGTTGTTGGGATGGATGCAACATGATAAAATCAGTAATAATTCATAACTTGCAACAATGTTTTTTAGATCAAAACTCCAACATGCATGATAATAAACAGAAACTGTTCCTATTGTGGTGAATCTGCAAGATATACACATTCAGTTTATAGGTTCAAATAAACATTTGTGTTATGGTATTCATCCAATGAGATAAAATAGTTATATATAATATATGAAGACAGCAGCTATCTGATGGTATGAATGATGGGATGAATAAAGATGAACCATGACAGTAATCCATATTGCTTTGGGAAAGTTTTCAAAAACTGAATCTTAGCCAGAAAGATCTAAAAGCCATATGTCATATGGACAGAGAAAAAACAGAACTGATAACCTTGATCATTCAAAGGCAACACAATTTCAGAACTCATGCTGCCTTTTTTCTTTAGCCAAGATTTAGCAGGAGTCACATTTCAGTGAACTCCTAAATGCTAGATGATTTAACTGACTTTTTAGACTAATTACACATACTGGCTATCAATTCTTAAAAATGACACTTTTTCTTAAAATTTAAATATTTTTAAGGGAGAAAATATTTTGACAAAATAACTCTTGGTAACACTTTACTTAAGGCCATGTTTTTAGCAATTTATAAAAATATTCATAATGCATTATAATGCATTCATAAAGCCTTATAAAAATGGCTATACATATTTTGAAAAAGGCATAAGACATGCAGTATAAAGCATCCTTAATGCTTATATCGACCATTATAACGCATTATAAATGAGAGCGTCATAAAGCATTCATAATGCATAATAAACATGGCTATGATGTGTTATGCCTTTTGCTAAATATTTATAGCCATGTTTATAACACTTTATGAATGCATCATGTATGAATGTGTTTTTATATTACTAAAAACATGGCCTTAAGTAAAGTGTCTCCTAACACTTTTTTTTATAAATATTATGTGTTTAACCAGAATAAAATTTCAAAGTCTGCGTGGCTATTTGTGGCCTGCCCACCCCCGTTATGAAGTGAACCATTGGAGGTCCAGCTAGCAGGGAGCCTACTGCCTGTTTCTGCTGGCCTGCTGCCTGCCTGCGCTGGCCTGCCATCTGCCTGCATTTACCTTGTACTAATTTATGTAAGCTTGTGCTGCACGGGCCGCCCAGAGGAGGACAAACTCCCCCCTTCCTTTTCCCCCCGACTTCTATCACTCTGGGTCCGTCAGACCTGGGATTGCTTTGGAACAATATCCTTTTAAAAGCACCATATAATTAAATTGATTAAATTGTCTGTTGGGTGGCATGGCGGCATGTGGTAGCACAGTAGCCTCATACGTCTGGGACCAGGGTTCGAGTTCCCACTATGGCATGTTCTCCCTGTGTCGTCATGGGGTTTTAGTCTGGTTTCATAGTCTGAAAACATGCTGAGGTTAATTGGAGTTACCAAATGGCCCATGGGTATGCCCTGTGATGGGTGGGCAGCCTGTCCTGGGTTGTTCCCTGCCTTGTGCCCATAGGATCTGCACCCCTGTCACCCTGAATAGGACAAGTGGTTACAGATGATAAATTGACATTGTCTTATAACACACTACCACCAATATTGCTAAAAGAAAGGAAAAATAGACCATATATGGAACTACAACCACTATATTACAATTATGTATAATAAAACATAATATTCTCAGAAAGAACTGTCTGTAATATCTTACAGTAGTAATAGCAACAATGCTGAGTGTTTTTATTTTTTGCTAACTGTTATTGACCAGTAATTTTACTATAAACAAATAAGCCCCCATACAAACAGACTGATTACACTTACCGTGTCTTAAACGTCTTACTGAAATCATGGAGTGCACATACATGGCAGCAGTTGGTCATGAATATCACAGACCAGTTGGTTCATGGAATTTCAGTTTAATTTCCAGTTACACTATTGCCACACTAACCCAAACATGTCGCATGATTTGAATCAGAAGGCTCTTAAATCGAATTAAGAGCTTAAATAAAAGTCAGCATGCAGTGAGTGTCACGAGCAGGGGAGCCGTAAAGCGGGGAAAGTCTGGACGATTCCAAGGGCCCCGAAGTCACTGTGGCCCTAAAAAATTTGGAACATAATCTGACTGAGCTGGGTTGGGGGCCCAATATAATCAGCTTTCATGGGGCCCAAAATCTTTAGCAGCAGCCCTGGTCACCAGTAATATACAAGAGAAATTTGTTTTAATCTTTACTAGTCCTTACATACTACATACTAATCTTTACTAGTCCTTACATACTACATACTAATCTTTACTAGTCCTTAATGAGCTCCAAGAGTCAGAATTGCAGTAGAGGTGCACATCTGCAGGACGTGATCTTGAGTTCCAAAGAGTAATGGGCTTGATTGGACTTTTCCTGCATTTTCCCAACTTCCACACTGTAACACAAAGAGGGCGGGAAATCTTGGGTCCCCAGGAGTTCAGATGCAGGATTTTAACTTTTTTTTTTTATAATGACTAACAAATCCCCTTAAGCTGATGTTTGAGACGTCACTGAGATGCCCTTTAAAATGCAGCACTATCCTGCACCACAGCAATCTCTGCACACGATTGAGGTACTAAATACTGAGAGGCCAGGGAAAAAAAAAAAAAAGTTTTCTCTTCTGCCTCCAACTGTAGAGATGAAGAAAGCTTGTAAGAACATAATATTTGAGCTGGCGCTTCATGCCCAGTAAAACACAACCAGGGGCACAGAGCTGAAACAGCCAATATTATTCTCACTATGATTTCAAGCTGTTCTCAGAATGTCGTGTTAGCATGTCCGTCTCTTTCTGTCATCATTGTGCA